GCCTTCTTATCAGCTTAAAAGGCCACGACGTCTGTGTAGGAGTGATATCTATCCTTGGAATGTAAATTGTACAACCGATGTTTTTTTCGAACATAATCTTTATTTCAATCACATGGTCTGCCAATCTTGAAACAATAGGTCTCGTATCGTTCGTTGCATAATCCTTCAGATTGATCAATATTTCTTAAAAGCATTATTAGTGTACCAACTTTTAATTTAATTTTGTGATGTGGAAGACCAGATGCTGTAAGTGTATTCAAAAATTCAGAAGTTAATACATCAAATGATTCATTGGCATCAACATCCATTCTGTCAACAGAATCAGAACTTAAATACTCTTTTTCTATGTATGTAAAAAACATCAATACAATATATAAATGGTAGGTATAATATGGACTAATTTATAAATAAATAATTTGAAAATGTAAATTCAATTATCTGGAAAAATATCTAACGCATATTGATTGATAACATCAATTGTTTCCAATGTTCCAGCCAAAATTGCTCTACATTGAAGGCATTCAGGGTTTTTATAGTTTTGGAGAAAGTTAGGATACGTTGATTGAACAATGGCTTTTAGGGGATCATCGTAATCTGTGATTAACATATCCTTTGGTATGCCAATATCAGCAAACTTTCCATCTCCAACCTGTAATATCCAATTTGAAAATTATTCTAATTCATAAGCACTGGAAGGGATGGTGGATTGTTGAAGACGCATGTTCTTTGTAAGTCTAAGAATTATTTACAAATTATACCTGCTTTAAATTGCATATGTCGCTCCACATCATGCATTTGGCATTATAAACAAACAGTTCAAGTGATGTATATTATGTTCCCCCAGACTAATTAGATATAGTTTGACTGGATTGTGTGGGCTTCTCATTCTTCTGGGAATCAGGTAACTTTAAAACAAAATAAGGTCAATAATCATCACAACAATCAAATCGTAATTATATAAAAGATTTATAATATGAAAGTTCAGAATAAAGGATATATGCTTTGACAAAAAACCCTAGATAACAGTGATATCTTCATTGATCAGCAATTTAGAACGACTCCATCCATTGGAAACTATATAATTGTAGTCATAAACATTGACATTAACAATAACAAAATAACAGTTACATATGCTAATGTTACGATACAATAAAAAATATTCATCTATTAATTCAATGTACAACTTTGTCAATCCTTGATCATTGCATGAGTCAGAACAATAACAATTGCTCCATAATTTAATTCATCATTATTTTTAGAAATTTGAGTATGATAATCCTGGATAACTTCGAGGAATCATGTTCGTACACTTTCTGAACAAAGTATTTCGATCCTATTATTGCCTGGGTTCACAAAATCTTTGTGGGGATAATTCTTGAAGAACAATCTGCTTCTGGCAATAGAGAACAGATCAGGAATGTAGAGAGAAAGTATAGTTTTGTTAAGTGTTTTAAACTGAGGCCAAATGACTCCTTATATAGGAGATTAATAACAGAAACCGAAAAGACACAACTGTTCAGAAAACGGTTAAGTCGGTCGGGCCCCTTGGAACCCCAACGGGGCGCTGCCCCGCACCCCGCCAGGGGCTTCGCCCCTCAGAACCCCTTTTCAATTATTCTCATTCAATTATACGTTGGCTCGACGAGCGTGCACTCCGCACTACCCTAACTCGTTTCCAAGCTTAACGCATAATTGCATCGGCCTACAGTAAATCACATTACTACTAAAATACATTGATGATACTAAAATCACCAACAATTATAATAACTTAAAAACTTGGATTCAAAACTGTCCCATAAAGTGCATTTTATATTATTGTCACTGCATAAAATTTTGGGAGCTAGTACCAAAAAATTAAAACCATATCGAGATAAGGTTTATGATAAGTTTAATGTAAAAAATTTACCCCAAGTCCCTTAGTCTGAATGAAACAGCTATCTTCTTCTCGATTGATTTTGAAGGGAAGTTGTTAATGTCATGGACAACACCTATAATATCTGATAAAATCAAAGAGATTAAGAAAAACATTTCAAGAAAATACTGAATAATATAAACATTTACTACGTCTAACAATATAATCAAATACCTTCAAGTCTTTCCACCTTACAATCACCTTTAAGGATATTAGCAAAATCCTTGAAGACGAACTTATGTGAAGGAATATTGGCAAGCTCAATGGGTTTTACAGTTGTACCACTTAAGAAAACAAATTTGTTAATATGATCACAAACATTTCATTGAAAATCATTGTCGTACACATTACCATTATTTATCACGCAAGTCATATCTTATTTCAACAACAATTTCAATTTAGTTGTATGGTCAGATCGAATCAAAACTTGAATTCGATCACCCTGGATGTATGACATAAAGTAGTACAACATGTAAATATAAATACATGAACAATTAGGATAATGCAAACAATACAGTAATTAATATAATGAAATATATCAGACCTTGGCATCCATTACAACCATCTCCATATGTTCTATGCCCTTGCTATTAACGACGTTCCATATATCAATAACACAAACAATCATACGCCGTGTTTCTTTAGAATCATCTATATCACCCAAAAAATCGAATTTGTGTGACCTTGCTCCTTAAGATTAGGAAAAAATGAAACCTGTTAGTGAATGGTATTGATTTGGGAAAAAATCAGTTTAGGAAGAAGAAGAAAAAATGTCGAACCTCTACTCTTTTACGTGACTGCAAGGCTAAAAACTGTGGCACTATGGAGGAAATGCATGTATAGATTGATACGTTAGAATTCAAAACTCAAAGCATAAGGGCAAATGTTGATACGTTAGAATTCAAAAGTGTTGACCGCTTGTTAGGTTGGTTTCTAAAGGTTATCAATTGTACCTCCAAATCCACTGTTTGTATCATTTGGACTTCCACTTGTTGGACTATTTGGTGGTGGCAGAACCACATAATGAGTAAATTGTGAGTTGCATGTTACACGTTTTCAAAGACTTCTTTGAAGACAATATTGGTGGTAGTGTGCAATTCTTTATTTTCTTTGTCATGGATTAGTATCTTAAGGTCCTTTTTGTTTTTTACTCTCAATATTGCAACATACAATTAACCATGGCTAAAGACACTCCTAGGCAAATACAACCTGACATATCTAATGACTGACATTGTGATTTGTTAATTGTCATAACATAAGACACAATTATTGGAAACTGCCTTCTTGTTAGCTTAAAAGGCCACGACGTCTGTGTAGGAGTGATATCTATCCTTGGAATGTAAATTGTACAACCGATGTTTTTTTCGAACATAATCTTTATTTCAATCACATGGTCTACCAATCTTGAAACAATAGGTCTCGTATCGTTCGTTGCATAATCCTTCAGATTTATCAATATTTCTTAAAAGCATTATTAGTGTACCAACTTTTAATTTAATTTTGTGATGTGGAAGACCAGATGTTGTAAGTGTATTCAAAAATTCAGAAGTTAATACATCAAATGATTCATTGGCATCAACATCCATTCTGTCAACGGAATCAGAACTTAAATACTATTTTTCTATGTATGTAAAAAAACATCAATATAGTATATAAATGTTAGGTATAATATGGACTAATTTATAAATAAATAATTTGAAAATGTAAATTCAATTATCTGGAATAATATCTAACGCATATTGATTGATAACATCAATTGTTTCCAATATTCCAGCCAAAATTGCTCTACATTGAAGGCATTCAGGGTTTTTATAGTTTTGGAGAAAGTTAGGATACGTTGATTGAACAATGGCTTTTAGGGGATCATCGTAATTTGTGATTAACATATCCTTTGGTATGCCAATATCTGCAAACTTTCCATCTCCAACCTGTAATATCAAATTTGAAAATTATTCTAATTCATAAGCACTGGAAGGGATGGTGGATTGTTGAAGACGCATGTTCTTTGTAAGTCTAAGAATTGTGCAATAATCCCATATATATATATATATATATATATATATATATATATATATATATATATATATATATATATATATATATATATATATATATATATATATATATATATATATATATATATATATATATATATATATATATATATATATATATATATATATATATATATATATATATATATATATATATATATATATATATATATATATATATATATATATATATATATATATATATATATATATATATATATATATATATATATATATATATATATATATATATATATATATATATATATATATATATATATATATATATATATATATATATATATATATATATATATATATATATATATATATATATATATATATATATATATATATATATATATATATATATATATATATATATATATATATATATATATATATATATATATATATATATATATATATATATATATATATATATATATATATATATATATATATATATATATATATATGAAGAATTAATAGTTACATGAATGATATTAGAACGACTTATCCTTGGTATAATAGGAAGTATTTGTCGAAAATCTCCGCCAAGAATGACAACTTTACTACCAAATATCATCTTAGAATTCTTTGTTCCTGACATGATGTCCGTAAGTGTTTTATCCAAAGCTTCGAAACAATACTTATTCGCCATTGGAGCTTCGTCCCAAATAATCAATTTGGATAACTTCAACAGTTCAGCATGATCGGTATTCTTTTCTATATTACATGTAGATGACTCCATTGTCGGTATTGGAATTTTGAACATAGAATGAGTTGTTTTACCTCCAAGAAGTATTAGAGATGTTATACCTGATGAAGCAACTGTCTAGAAAATTTGTTTTCTTGACCTTATGTATGATGCTAAAGTCCTCTAAATATATGATACAACATGACATAATGAATTCCATTTTTTAATACGGAGTGACCACTGTCTCTTCTTATGTATATCGGGAAGCCGTCATGATCGACAATTGTTTGAGGACGAAATTCTTTTGTAAAATACTTGGAACATTTTCTGTCCCTCATACACGGCGCAGATTTGTTACCAGCACGCATGGCCAGTGTATCATATGGGACTTGACCAAGTTATATAATTCAATGTCGGTTTCTGCATCAGGAATTTCAGCAGAAATTATCTTATCAATATCAGCTGGATTCAGATATTTGTTGGATGGGTGCAGAAAAATTATTATGTGGGCATGAGGCAATTCCATTTTTTGAAACTCAATGGTGTACATATCTGTCAACAAACACAAAATACTGCAAGTTAACTAACATAACAGTGGATCAGATTTTGGAAACAATTAAAAAATGGAAATAATATGTATGCCATAATAAAACGTATAAAAAAATACACTTACATGCAAGAACCTTTCCCATCACTCCTTTCTTGGTCAAGTCGCACAATAACTCATCGAACTTCATTTAAAAACTCTAGAAATAATGTTCGGACGATCGGCTGGTTTCAAATTCATCTTTCCAAGATAAAGCTGAATCTCAGGCCAGTTGGGATTACATGTAAATGTTATAAATAGATCTGGAAAATCAACGTAACTGCATATTGTCATTTCGTCGAAATATAGTTGATACATATATCTATGACTACCAACATATGAAGAAGGCAAGATGAGTCTCTTCCCGGTGCTTGAACCTTTGATCCGACGGTCTGAGTTTAATTCACTCAAATTGTGGTACTTTTCAACCCTTAGTTTTGATTGATTTTTTCTAAGCCACCTAAGTCTCTTTGATTTCATCATGGTAAAACCATCTGCCAAAAACTGTTGGAAAAGCCTTCGGGATTTTAACAATGTCGGTGGTTAGTCATGTCTGGTTTGGATTCGAAATGCCATCCATTCTCTGATTGTAAGTCTGTTTCTTTTAGTCGCTTCTTCCCATGGAGTATCATCAAACTACAAATTAGAATGTATGGTTTCTTGGTTGTCACGTGATACTGAACTCTTATCTCGATGCTTCACATTTGGCCTATATTCATCTTCACCGTATGGAAAAAGTAATGGATATTGATATCCTAAATAAGAGGTATGATACTCATCTATTCGTTGAAGATCACCTTTTTGTTTGTGCATGATGATATCCCTTTTTCCTGTTGTATCAACATCCCCGACAATCAAAGCAGCAACTTCAGATATAGTGGGTTGATTATATATCCTTCCATCACTTTTTCGGTCTGAAATAAGTTTCAGTTTTAAATCAGAGACATTATTGTGGGCCATAATATCCCTCGCCATTCGGAATGATTGAGCATGAACATTGTGTTCGTACAACATTTGAGACAGTTTTGAAACAATATGAACGTCTACCCCGATCTTTGACCTACAGTTGAATAAAACAACCAAATTGTTACAAAATTTTTAATGTTGTTTACGATATATTTAAATGAAAGCAAATATATTATTGTAGTTGTTTACAATGATAAATGCATAAATACAGCTTTCTGTTATGACGTACCTTATTCCGTTATTTCTATTTTGGATTTCGTTCTCTGTATCGTAAATTTAGAGTTGTGCAAATTTGGGGTTTTGACCTGGCATTGGCAACATGCTGTTGATTCTGTAGTCGGACTGACCTTGAATACGAAAAGTTGGAGGACCTCTACCATTATTAAAACGGTTATCCATTTTTGTACCAAGAGATGTAAACGCAAACATCATGTTGTATATTCTAATGTTTTGTTGAAAAGACCTTGACTCCACCGTTTCACATCCAAATAAAATATCTTGTAATACCTTTGGTGGCATCTTTAGCAAAGGAACTTGAATCTTTTCATTTCCACAACACAATGAAAATTCAGGAATTGTTCTATGACGATTATTTTCTCTTCTTTCAAGATACCACATATTTGCATAGCATTGTTGACACTCTACAATTGTGTCTCCTATGTCATAGTAACCTATATAAAGAATATTTTTTCCAAACTTTAAGCAAATTTTATATTTTATAAAACTTCTTACGTCTATTCAAAATATTAATGGAATATGAGTATTGATTAAACCGAGAATATATATATCAAAAATAAATATAATATAACTTTATTTGAATAAAAAATAATAAAATTTGCCTAGAATTAAATAAACTATTATATTTTAAAATAAAATTTGTTATTAATAAATATTAAAATTTTCTTTAAAATATATCATTTTTAGTATTTATAAATATTAAACTTTATTTTTAAATAAAGGATTATTTTTCTGAACTTTGACCAAAATTTTACTATTTTTTAATTAACAAATTTCTTTGTTGTATATTTTAGTATGATTTAAGATATATCTTATTTTGGTGTAACAACATAATAATTAAATAAAAATATATTTAAATTATAATAAATATATAAATATAAACAAACAATAATATTTTTAAGTTTACATATATATATATATATATATATATATATATATATATATATATATATATATATATATATATATATATATATATATATATATATATATATATATATATATATATATATATATATATATATATATATATATATATATATATATATATATATATATATATATATATATATATATATATATATATATATATATATATATATATATATATATATATATATATATATATATATATATATATATATATATATATATATATATATATATATATATATATATATAAATGGATATAAATGTATACTAATATATTAATGGATATAAATAAACAATAATCAACAATATAATAATGGACATAAAAATATATTAGATAATTGAACATACAATATACATATAATTAAATATAAATAAATATAATTCCCATGTTGCTATTAATAAATAATCAAAATTTCTTTAAAATATATTATTTTTAATATTTATAAATATAAAAATTTATTATTATATAAAGAATACATTTTTTTCCTTAAAAAATTATTTTGTTTTATATTTTAGTATGATTTAAGATATATTTTATTTTGGTGTAACAACATAGAAATATTAAATAAAAATATATTTAAATTATGTATAAATATATAAATATGTATAAACATTAATATATTTAAAGTTTATAATAAATAGATAAATATATATAAATATACTATAAATGTATATGTATGGATATAAATATATATAAATATACTATAAATATATTAACGAATATTAATAAACAATAATCAATAATATAATAATGGTTATAAAAATATATTTGATAACTAGACATACAATATAGATAAATTAAATATAAAAAAATATAATTTATATGTTATTATTAATATATAATCAAAATTTCTATAAAATATATTATTTTTATTACTTATAAATATAAAACTTTATTTTTATATAAAAAAAAATATTTTTTCGAACTTTAAGCAAATTTTTTATTTTATAAAAATCTCACGTCTATTCAAAATATTAATGGAATATGAGTACTGATTAAACCGAAAATATATATAGTAAAATAAATATTATTTTATTTTATTTGAATAAAAATAATAAATTTTTCTTAGAATTCTTTAAACTATTATATTTTAAATTAAAATTTGTTATTAATAAATATTAAAAATTTCCTTAAAATATATTATTTTTAGTATTTATAAATATTATAATTTATTTTTAAATAAAGCATTATTTTTTTGAACTTTGACCAAAATGTTACTAATTTTTAATATACTATATATATATATATATATATATATATATATATATATATATATATATATATATATATATATATATATATATATATATATATATATATATATATATATATATATATATATATATATATATATATATATATATATATATATATATATATATATATATATATATATATATATATATATATATATATATATATATATATATATATATATATATATATGTATGTGTGTGTATAAATATACTATAAATGTATTAATGGATATCAATAAACAATAATCAATAATATAATAATGGATGGAACTCATTAGAAATAATATAGCATAACAATTTAGAAAAGGCCTTGTTATATTTCAAATTTAAAATGCTTATAATCTATATTGGGTTAAACCCATTGTACATGATGCATCAAATCAATTCATAACAAAAGTAAACGACGATTAATAAATCTTAAGCAAACAAAATAAAATTATATCGATTGAAATAAATGGAAACATCAAATAGTTAAATTCCAAAATTGAACGGATGGACATCACTTCAGATGTTCGATTTTATCTTCACTTTCTTGTGTGGCTTGGTGCCCAAAAAATGTGTTGCTTCAACAATGTCACAGTCATTATCCTCTTCATTCGAAACGGTTGAATTCACTTTTTTTGGAGTGGTCTGACTGTTAAATTCAGGTTCATTCTCTCCACATGCTGACATAGAATGCTACATGAAACATTAACACATCATCACTAATATATTTTTACGGAGAATACTGGGAAAACTTAAAATAAGACTGAATGAATAAGAAATTTGCTCATGTTTTAAGTTTTATAACTTACAACAGAAATGTCAACATTATCTTCCTTCATTGCATCTTTTCCATTTAGAATTTCAGCTTAATAATAAAGGAACATAAAAAATATAAGAGAGATATAAAGTTAAAACACTCATCATTAAGGAATGAAGATGTGATAACCTACCTCAGGGCTTTTTTGGTGGTAACCTTCTTTTGCAACAATCTTTGGACTGTGTGGTTTAGATTGGTTCTATTAACGACGTAAACATACAAAATATGAGGTTACGCAAAACGATAATATGTACGCAATAATGTGTCATCTATAAAGAGTTTCAGTTTATACCTCACACATGATATACTCATTCGAAGCTTATCAATTAACAATTCATCGGTTAAAAGCTTGTTAACTGAACCTTGGCCAAAGCTTGGTTGAACCTTTACTCTAAATATCATTTTCTTCTTTAATAGCACATCAAGCTCATCAGGATACACCATAGGATCATCCTTGCCCTCCTATGAATAGGGATGCAAAGTAACTATTAGTTTTAATATTTTTTAGAAACAAAAATTATAATCAATAGATAAACGTAAAATTATGTAAACCTCAAGCATGGTTTTTCGCAGGTCATCAGTTGTTTTGCCTATGATATTAGCACAATCACTATCCCATAAGACAAAATGGTACTTTGCATCTCCATCTAAGACATTCTCGACTTTATACTTGTTCCAATTATATAAAACCGTGAGCATCATGGTATGTTTATGTTATAATAAAAATATTAAAATGTTATACAGTAGAATTTAGTTTACCTAGGTATAGGCTTATCCATATCTTCACCACAACCATATTTGTAAGAATTTGCATTAGCTAGGGATTTTAAGGAGCACTTGGTACAACCATAGTAGAACCACCCATACTTGGAAACAACAAATTTCACAGTTGTTGCAACAGTAACACACATTGTCTCCTAGTAGTGTGTTATAAGAAACTTATATAGCAGATGAAT